TTTTAGTTGTCCAGCTAATTTTTTCTATTTTTTTTAGTAGAGATGGGGTCTCACTCTTGCTCAGGCTGGTCTTGAACTCCTGAGCTCAAACAATCCACCCGCCTCGGCCTCCCAGAGTGCTAGGATTACAGGCATGAGCCACCACGCCGGGTAGTAACTACCATTTTTGATGGCTACGTGAAGGTGTCTTTCAGTTTTTTGCCATTATTAATGCTTCATTGACCATATTATGAATATAATTTTTTATAGACTTTACATTATTCCTAACAGATAAGTTACTGGGTCAAAACATATGATCATTTTTATAGCTCTATACATATCACCAAAACAAGTTTTAAAAAGGATGATAACAGTTTACACCATCAGTGGAAAAGTTAATAAACACAAAGATCCCCCGTGGTATTTAGTTAGCATTTCTTTGATTATAAAGTATAATTGAACATGTTTTCATGTTTCTTTACTATTAATAATTTCATATTCTTTAAGTGAATTCTCATGTCAAATATTTTCTACCCTTAAAAGAACTGTGCAAGGCTGGGTGTGGTGGCTCATGCCTATAATCCTAGCGCTCTAGGAGGCCAAGGTGGCAGGATCACTTGAGCTTAGGCGTTCGAGACCAGCCTAAGCAAGAGTGAGACCCCATCTCTACTAAAAATAGAAAAACTTAGCCAGGCATGGTGGCGCATGCCTGTAGTCCCAGCTGCTTGGGAGGCTGAGGCAGGAGGATCACTTTAGCCCAGGAATTTGAGGTTGCTGTGAGCTAGGTTGACGCCACGGCACTCTAGCCCGGGCAACAGAGCGAGACTCTGTCTCAAAAAAAAGAAAAAGAAAAAGAACTGTGCAATCTTCTCATCCACTACATGCTCACGTTCTGCCCTGCCTGATTTTCTTTCTGTGTAGATTTTGTCCATCATGCTGTATTCCTCAAAAAAAGAGATCAACACTTTGGCCGAACATGGAGACCTCGAACTGGACGAGCAAGGGGACCCAGAGGAAGAGGTAGAGCGGCCAGTCAGCAGCCCTGGTGACCCGGAGCAGAAAAAGCTAGACCCTCTTGAGGGCCTGGATGAGCCCACCAGAATATGTTTCTTGGTGTGTTCTTGGGTCATCTTATAGATTGGGCAAGAGCTTCTGGGGAATGGATTCTCTTTGGCTTGGGCTGTGTTTTAGCCTAAACATGAAAATACACTTCAGTCTGATGTCCTGAGAATTCGCTTTCTAAAGATCCAGTCTGTATTGTACAGAATTCATCCAGAAGAACAAAAAAGCCCTAAAGCAGTAGTTCTTAACATTTTTCGTCACAGACCCAAAAGCTTTAGAATCACTCTCCTGTAATATACACCTTCAAATATTTGTTTAAAATTTTGCGTAAATTTCCAGGATTTACTAAAGCCCTAAAACCTACCCACAAGCTTTTTTTTTTTTTTTTTGAGACAGAGTCTCACTCTGTTGCCCTGGCTAGAGTGAGTGCCGTGGGGTCAGCCTAGCTCACAGCAACCTCAAACTCCTGGGCTCAAGCGATCCTACTGCCTCAGCCTCCCAAGTAGCTGGGACTACAGGCATGTGCCACCATGCCCAGCTAATTTTTTCTATATATTTTTAGTTGTCCAGATAATTTCTTTCTATTTTTTAGTAGAGACAGGGTCTCGCTCTTGCTCAGGCTGGTCTCAAACTCCCAAGCTCAAACAATTCACCCGCCTCGGCCTCCCAGAGTGCTAGGATTACAGGCGTGAGCCACCGCGCCCGGCCTACCCACAAGCTTTTAAATGATGGTCCCCTCCTCATAATTTCTCAGAAATAATCTCTTACCTTCCCTAGGTAATCCACTCTTCCTCAGAATGATGTGGAAAAGGTTGAGGGCATGGACTTCAAAAATTGTAACTACAGTGAGCTATGGTAATACCACAGTACTCCAGCCTAAGCAACAGAGCAAGATCCCATCTCTAAAAATAAAATAAAAAATTTTTTTTAAAGGAAAAAAAAAGTTGTAACTAGATGAAGAGTAAACAGAATGTGGAATAGAGTATCAGAAAAGCAAGTACCATTAAAAAAAAAATCAAAAGAAAATACGGTGCACAAGTATGTCCTAGTTGTCAAACTTGAGCATAAGACAGCTACAGAGAAGCTGGCAGTGAACGCAGTGTGGTGAATAAGTACTATTAACATCGATTTTTTGGCATGATATTTCTTTTGGTATTTCGGTGTCTTATAGTTTCCTTTGAAGTTACAATAGTAATGCAGATTTTACAGTCCATGTTTTTTTTACAGTACTTACATAATGTTCTTCAGTTACAACCTGTGGGTGGCTTTTGAAATATCATCTCATCACTTTGGAGTTCAGTTTATCAGTGATGTGTTGAAGCACTTTTAATCGTTTCTCTCCTGCTTCCCCCCCGTGCCTTCAGATGGCTCACGATGCCCTCAACGCCCCTCTGCACATTCTCCGCGCCATATACGAACTGCAGATGAAAAGGACCGATTCTTTCTTCCTGGAGGTTCAGAAGAGGTGAGGGACATTTAGGTGCTGCTGAAACGTGGCGAGGGAGAGGACAAGAGAGGGTGGTTGGACCTGTACCTCCTGTCAGCGGGATCTGGATCAAACCCTGACAGGCCAGGAAGCAGTTTTCAGTCCTTTGTAAAGTGATGTGGAAGGTGACCTGTGCTACTCGGCATGGGTCGTCTTCCAAGTGTGCTTGTAGGTTCCTTTGTAAAAACTTGACCTTTGCGGCCGGCCTCTGAGAGTAAACTCATTTTCCAGACGCGGACATTGAGACAGGCGCCAGGATGTGTCATTCCAGTGAGCAGGCAGCACAGAGCAGGCGCTTCTACTCAAGACGTTGTTTTGGTTATGTTTTTGTTTTTTCACCAGTGTAAATTATTTTCATTTTTTTCCCTAAAAGATGATTATAAAATTAACAATTTTCCCTTTCTCTTGGCCAGGAAGTTCAGAGCTAGTTCTTCGGCCCAGCCCTTCAGTTTGTGTAGAACTTTACAAATCTATAATCTGATCTCATCCTCCATCCTCCCAAAGCCTGGTTTTGACTTCTTATTCTAATTTATAGTGAATTGTTATTTAATTTTTCTTTTATTCATTATTTCATGTTTCTGTTTTACCATGTGTATTTCTTACATGTTGCCTCAAATCCTTTGCAAGATGAAGCAAGGTTGCATTATTTAGAGTGTAGTCTAAGCTGCCTAACAAAAAAAACAGAAATATGATGGATCAAGCCAGATAGAATTTGTTTCTCTCTCACTTAACAGTCCAGAGGTAAGCAGCAGTCCAGGGCGGGTAGGCATTTCTGCTCCACAAAGTAACCCAGCGACCACAGGGGTGTTATTCTCAACTGTGTAGGGAAAGCTAGTTCACTCACACCACCTCTGGATTCCAGCCCAGACGAAAGGGGAAGGCAGAGAAAGAAGTGGCATCCTACCTCACTCACCAGCCATCGGCAAGAACCTAGTTGCATTGCTACATTTGTCTGCTAGTGGGGCTGACAGCCATGTTTGTAGCTGGGTGACTATGTCTCTTGCCAAAACTGTGTAGAGAACTTTGTTTCTGAAAGAGAAGGGGAGAATGGATTCTGGGGAACAGTTTGCATCCACTGCCACAGGGCATGTGTGCATATCTACGTGCATGAATAAATGAGTGTTGAGAATCCAGTTTGCAAAATACAGGAAGTGATAATGTAATTGTATAACAACAAAAAAATAGCTCTAATCAACATTTCTGACAAGTTTAATTGCAGGTTAAACTCTTGCCTTTCTACACATTTTGTGCCCAATTTTGTGCTGACGTGCTTCAGGTTTGATGGAGATGAGCTCACCACAGATGAAAGGATACGGTCGCTGGCTCAGAGGTGGCAGCCCAGTAAGAGTCTGAGGCTGGAAGAGCAGAGCGTCAAAGCTGTGGATACAGACATGATTATCTTGCCGTGCTTGGTATGTCACCCCACCTTGGCACCGAAGTGTCTGCACTCTCACTCCTACCTCTCTCCCCCACCCCCAAGCAAGAAGGCCAGGCCTTTGTAACGGTGGTCTTGGATTTGCAGTCCCGGCCTGCACGCTGCGACCAAGCCACTGCTGAATCAAACCCGGTGACCCAGAAGCTGATCTCCAGCACCGAGAGTGAACTGCAGCAGAGCTACGCCAGGCAGCGCCGTAGCAAGAGTGCTGCCCTCCTGCACAAGGAGCTGAACTGCAAGAGTAAGAGAGCTGTCCGGGACTACCTCTTCCGCGTGAATGAGGCCACAGCCGTCCTGTACGCCCGCCACGTGCTCGCATCCCTGCTCGCCGAGTGGCCTGGGCATGTGCCAGTGAGCGAGGACATCCTGGAGCTCAGTGGCCCTGCTCATATGACCTACATTTTGGATATGTTCATGCAGCTGGAAGAAAAGCATCAGTGGGAGAAGGTAGTTAAGTAGACTGAGCTCGCACTCACCCTCCAGGCTTCTCCTCTGACCCCAGGGTGTTTGAACAAGCTTCCTCTAGCGCATGCTTCCTGGAGCGAGGTTACCTGTGTGCTGTCCAGCTCCCTGACAGGTGTGAATGCAACAGAGGTAGGGCCACTGCATCCTCTCCCAAGGATTGGCCCAGAGTTGAGCTCACAGCCTGGGACAGACTTGATACTCAGAGAGTATTTGAAATCAAGTCTTTAATTTGTTCTTTTAAAATAGTGTTGGGTTAGCAAATCTTCATAGGGTTAGAAGCTTCTCTTCTGTCTCCTGCTGCACAGAAGCGGAGGACCTGATGTAGCAGAAAACATCATAGTGTAGAGCTTAAGAGTCCTGGGCATGATTTCCAGCTGAGCCAGAAGTCACCCTCTTCCCACTTTCCAAGTGCAGAAGTCTTGAGGCTTCTTAAGACCTCCTTCACCCTATCCCCCTCCACCCTCGTCCACCCTCACACACATGTGCAGTCCAGGAAGAAGTTAATTTTCCCTCTAAGCCTTTGCCCATCTAAGAACACCACCAGTTTCTAGGTTCCTGAAATCCTTTCTCAGCCTCACAGCCCTAGAGGTGCTGGCAGGTTTGCTCTGGCCATATTTATCTTCTGGAAGGGGCAAAAGGGAGCCATTGTTCCCCTACTGGCCCTCCCTCAGACGTGTCCTCTCCCACTTCTGCCCCCTGGAGCTCCCAACTCTGCACCTCACCCGGGTATTGACCACGCTGTGCTTTAATTATTTACCTATAGGTCAAGCCACCTGCTGGACTGGGAACTCTTCAGGGACCAGGGCCATATCTGATTGGTCCTGTTAGTTCTTGCAGACCTGCCTGAAGCAGGGTCTTCTGAAAGGACTGCAGGGTCCTGATTGACAGCAAGGGCCTGGTGGAGTGAGAGGTGGCTGGTGGGGTGGGGTCACAGAGGCTTGTTCTGGATCCACGATGATGCCAGCACCTTTGGGTGCATCTTAGGTTGAAGCAGACTCTCCCTTCCTCCTGATGCCACTGCCAGGCCCTGACCTTAGCGACGTTGTGTCCCACCAGATCTTGCAGAAGGTGCTCCAGGGCTGCCAAGAGAACATGCTGGGGACCATGGCCCTGGCTGCCTGCCAGTTCATGGAGGAGCCGGGAATGGAGGTGCAAGTGAGGGAATCGAAACACCCGTATAACAACAACACTAACTTTGAGGTATGGCCCGGTCAGCAGGCCCGGCAGGGCTTACTGAGTAGCAAAGACCTCAGCAGCTCCCTCAGCAGCCCGCCCCCGACAGCCCTGACCAGGAGTGCCTCTGCACACTGAGCCACCGCCCCCCGGAAGCCAGGGGTTCTGTACAACCAAGTCTCTCTTCTCCTGGCCTTTCTTGTTTTGATAGGATAAAACGGGCCAGCTGGCTGTTACAGAGAGTTTACTTTTCCTACAGCAAGCTCCTGAGAGAGTCTGTGGCCGCACAGCAAGGCAGTGGGTCTGAGTGTGGATCTAGGCTCCACCCTCGCCCTGCAGTTGTCTCCTGATGACTGGCCACAACTCAGAGACTCCAGCCCCTTTTTAAAAATTACCCAGAACTGAAAAGCCTCATCTTTTCCATCCTCTTTGTATCTGGACAGAGAGAAGTAGGGTTTAGATGAGGCAGGGGTGGGGCAGCCTCCATTATTCTCGTTGACTTAATGCCATGTGCATTTCTTTAGTCCTTTTAAAAATGTTGGAGCTGACCAGACATCAGCTTCTGGGTGGAAGGTGACCTACAGCCCCAGTGGTGGATGACAGAAACCAGTTTGGAACTTGGTTATTAGAAGGCTGAGATTTTGTTTTGCAGAAATATAAACCCCTAACTCTCTTCCTTCCAAGCCTCTTCTCTCCTTATGTTCCTGGGCTCTGTCCCTAGTCCCTTGGCCCCACATAGACACATGTGGTCCCACCAGGTTCTACACCAGAGAAGATCATGTCATCTCTCCACCACCCCCAGGCTCTCCCCTCCCTCCTCTGGCATTCCTGTTGCTGCTGCTTTCTGACCCCTGCTCTTGCCTGGTCCCAGCCCAGCCTTGCGCCACTCCCGCCCTCGGAGTGGTACTTCTGCAGTACCAGCCTGACCAAGGCTTATTCCTGCTTCAGACCTTTTCAGCACTCCCCTTCTTGTCCAGACAGAGTCTCGGAGCCTCATTTTAGTACTCAAGGCCTTCAGGGTCTGTCCCTGCCAACCTCTCCAGGGCCTTGTCTCGCCCGTCCGCACTTCCCAAGCATGTGCCCACATGGCACACCCTTTACCCCAGACACACCAAGCTCCTCACTGTTCCCTGAACACGTCCAAGACCTTTCCAGTGCTGCTCCCATGCCTGAGATACACCCCGTGTGCTCACACTTGCCTCGCCTCTGGCCTCCTGCCCCTCTTTCTCCTGACAGACTCTTCTTGTCCTGTTCCTCCTTCACGGCACCTGAACACCTCTGAGTAGGACCTTTTTGCCTGCCCCACACTGTATTTGCAGTTGTTGTGCATGCTCCTCGCCCCAGCTACACTGCGGGCCCCGGAGGGCAGGACTGTGGCTCACCCATTCTCACACCCCAGAGGCAGGACTTGGCATAGGGCAGCCAGCAGAAATATCCAGCGCGCGGTAATGATAGGAGTGTCCTCTTGCCTTCCCCAGGATAAAGTTCACATTCCTGGTGCCATCTACCTCTCGATCAAATTCGATTCTCAGTGCAACACAGAGGAAGGCTGTGATGAATTAGCTATGTCCAGCAGCAGTGACTTTCAGCAGGATCGACACAATTTCAGCGGGTCTCAACAGAAATGGAAAGATTTTGAGCTTCCAGGTAGTAAAAAAATACTTGGTTATATAAACTCTTCATTTGAATTGTTTAAATTTAATATTGAGTAGGGAAATTATATTGGCAAATTTTAAAACGGGTTTAATATATCTCATCAGAGATGCCTCAGTTGCCCTTCCCTGTTGCTCCAGTCTCCTGATCTGTTTCTGATTCTTGTGTGGCCCAGGAGACACTCTGTATTACCGCTTTACCTCCGACATGAGCAACACCGAGTGGGGCTACAAATTCACCGTGACGGCTGGTCACCTGGGGCGCTTCCAGACAGGTGTGTGCTCGGTCTTTGCGTTGAAGATCTGCCCGCCAGGGACACGCCATGGCTGCAGGTGCCCTTACGTCACCGATTGTTGTTAAAATCAAAGCAGGTGCTTTCCCTCCGACTCCCACAAATTTGTCTCACAGACCCCGTACCCATCACTCTTGAACGTGACGTTGTTGGCTAGTTGTAAACTACAACGGCCAGATGTAAGAGCTGTTCTGTCAGGGCCTGGAAAAGATGCCTGTTCTCTTAGAATTTACCAGGGCATTTTGCAGAAAGGAGGAACCGAACATGTTGCTCCTATGCTATTTTTACAAAAGGCTTAATTTCCACCAAAATTTAAATGATCACAATGATTTCATCCATTTTTTAAAATTTGAGCAGTTTATAAAATAATACAATTCTTAATGTAAATACTTGTTAGACTTTATTTTTAAAATATTTGTGTTTTGGGGGGTTTGGCCAGGATTCGAGATTTTGAAGCAGATGTTGTCAGAAGAAAGGGTTGTGCCTCACCTCCCGTTGGCAAAAATCTGGGAATGGCTGGTGGGCGTGGCCTGTCGCCAGACTGGCCATCAGCGACTAAAAGCCATCCACTTACTTCTGAGGATTGTGCGGTGCTGCAGCCACAGGTGAGCGGACTCCTGGACGCGCGTCCTTTGTCAGGCCCAGGCGTTGCCCACTCTGTCGCGCGTCTCTTCACTCTGTTGATGATGTCCTTGATGAAAACGCATTTGTGATTTTAGCTTCTTCCAGTTCATCAGTTATTTCCTTTATGGTAGTGCTTTTGGTGTCCCGCGTAAGAAATTTTTGCCTTACTCAAAGGTCATAAAGATATTTCCTGTTATCTTCTAGAAGCTTAATTGTTTTTCCTTTTACACTCAGATGTATAATCCACCAGGAGTGAATTTTAGAGTATGATATGAGGTGTAGGGGTCAAGTTATTCATAGTTTTTTCCATATGAATCTCCACTTGACTCCAGAGACCACTCTGCACACAGGTGACTCTCACCACACTGTAGTGCCACCATGTCAAAGAGCAGGTGTCCATGAATCTTTTTCCGGTCTCCTTTGTTCCTTTGGTCTTGGTTACAAGACCAAATCACAGTGCGATACAGTGTGTCTGTGTCACACTGTTTAAACAGTAGCTTTGTAACAGATTTACGTCTCCAGTAGTATAAATCCTTCGGCTTAGTTCCTCATCTCCGAGATTGCCTTGGGTGTTTTCGACCCTGCATGTCCGTAGACATTTTAGAATTAGCGCATTAATTTCTGCATATGCGTGTGCATACACATGCACAGACACACACACACACACACTCTCTCTCTCTCTCTCTCACATTCACTGTCGTCTAATGGGATTTTGATGGACTCTGTAGATCAGTTTGAGGAGAATCCACACCTTTAGAACACTGAGTCTTCTAGTCCACAACCATTATATATTCTTCTATTGTTTAAGTCTTAGTAATATTTTATAGTTTTCTATGTAGAGGACTTGTACAACATTTTTTTAGATTTATTATTAGGTATTTAATGTTTTTGATGCTATAATTGATATTTTAAAATTTTTAGTTTTGTTTTTGCTGATATATAATTAATTTTTGTGTATTGCCCTTGTATCCAGTGACCTTGCTAAATTTGTTAATTCTAAGACTGTATATGTAAATTATTCATTGCACAGTCACGTCATCTGTAAATAATGAGTTTTCTTTCTCTCAGTCCTTAGAAACTGCTTGTTTCTGCCTTTTGCACTAACCAGACCTCCAATACAGTGTTGCACAGAAGTGGGAATTGTAGACATAATTGCCTCGCTCCTCATCTCAGAGGGAAGGTGGTAGTGATGGTTCCAGACACATCATCCATACACTCAGCCCTCACCCTCCCTGCTCAGACCCCTACCTATAGGAGTTCATCGCTCCTCTTTCCTGCATTTTTAAGGCACACAGACACACAGAATGCTAGCCAGAGTGGGGTGGTGATGTTTGAAGTAACAGGTTGTCTTCTCATGTAATATAGAAACACCATTAAAAAAGTAAAGGACTCGCCAGGTCAGGGAAGACAAAGTGATGGCTCGAGTAGTCCGTACGCGGGTGGGAAGTGTAGGTGTCAAGGGGAGAAAGGGGGAGAGCTGGGCATGATTGCTGTTACCCACACGTCCTCACTGTCAGACATCAGGTCACTCAGCCCCACGTGGGCTTAGCTCTGTTCACTTGAGCGTGGCTTCTAGTAAGAGCTGCCTGTCTGAGCGACATGTGCGACACACGCAACCTCTCCATGGCCTTCTGGCTGCAGCACAGAGAGTTCCTGCACAGTCTGCTGGCCGTCACCTATTTTTCTTCCAGTGGGGACACTCCCACACCCCTCTGCCCAAGCCTGGAGGGAACTCCCAGCATAACTTGCCACACTTGGCTGTTTCATGAGCGCTCCATGTGGAGTTACAGGGGTGCTGGCCTGAGAGCTTGGCCCGGAGGCCTGACTGGAGGGGCAGCCCCCAGGGGAGGGACGGCCACAGGCAGTCCTGTCGCCACTTGGCCATGCAGGTGCTTTTTATTTTATATTGTAAAATGTGCTTTCGTGAAAACCCAGCTATAAAACTGGCTGAATTTTCCCATTTATTTACTTCACGAAGATTTATTCCTCTGGGGGAAACAGAGTGGCTTCAAAATAACAATTAAATAAATGCACATAATTCTTTTTCAAATCATAAGAGAAAAAGCAAATTAAAGAGAACAAGCAAACCTAACATTATATTAATATTATTTATTTCAAAACTTTTCTCCTCTGAAGGATGTTGAATCAGAATTAAAGCATAGCCTCTCTCTGAGTAAAAAAAAAAACCACCTTAGTTCATTTTTTCAATAGGCTTCTGCTTTACTTGAGGGAAAGATTTCTGCCTGAGCAACCTTACAAGTATATTTCTTGTGTTTCATAAGCCAAGCCTAAGATCATAATAATGGTTGTATTCGTTGTCTTTTAAATAGCTCTTTTTTTTCTGATTAGAAAACCAATGAGTGTTGTAGGAAATCTAGAAAGCTGATAGGGACAACTCCTGACCACACTGTTTGCTATGTTTGTTTGCTGTTGTTTTTAATGTGTATAAACACAATATTGCGTATGTGGGTTTTTCTTTTTAAATTTTATTTTGTATATGTAGTTACATGTCTTGTTTTTTTCCCACTTAACATTTATCTTGAGATCCACCGTCACTGGGAGGTCTTCATAGCAACCATTTCTAAAGATGCACAGTAATTCCCGTGAGCAAACTTCAGGGTCTCCCATTCCCTTGGAGTTTGGCTTTGGAGTTTAGGTTGTGCCCCTTGCCTTCTTTGCTGTTGGTGACTACTTGTGGCTGCTTGGGAGGCGGGTAGGTGGGACTATTTTATAATCACTGTAGCAGCTGTGGGCGAGGGAGGGTCTGAGCTGCAGTTCCCGGCAGCTGTCCCACTGTCTGACCGGCATGGTGCTCAGTAAACTGATGCCCTCCCCGGGCTCCTCCTGCAGCGACCTTTGTGACCTTGCGCTGTTGAAGCCCCTGTGGCAGCTCTTTACCCACATGGAGTACGGCCTGTTTGAAGACGTGACGCAGCCCGGCATCCTCCTCCCCCTGCACCGCGCCCTCACCGAGCTCTTCTTCGTCGCTGAGAACCGCGCCCAGGTGAGGGCCCTGCCCTGCCTCTCACCCTGAGGTCTGGGCAGGGAGCATGGCGCCTCCGTGTGCTTTTTGTTCCCTCTGCTGTCCAGGGCGGGACTCAGGTCACAGCCCCTTCCCAAGCCTGAGTGAGCTGAGTACCAGGGCCTCGGCAGGCAGCACAGGAAGGCAGGCCTGGCCAGGAGTCTGGGCCCTTGCCTCTCCCCAGCACTGGGAAGCCCTCAGGTCAGCTCCGAGATTGCTTATTTTGTCAGGCCTGGAGCCAAAGGGGGGAAAGGCTGCCTGGGATCAATCCTTGACAACAGTGAGTTTTGGAAAATAAAACGATGGGTTCTTTCTTCTTCCTCCTCTTTTTTTCTCCCCTCAGCACAATAGACTCATTGAATGTGAGAAATGAAAGGGCCTTTCAGAGTTCATTAGCTTATGCCCCTCATTTCATACATAAGGAAACTAGCCTGAGCAGGGGGTCCCCTGCGTGGTCCCCTGTGATTCGGTCAAGGCAGAGCCAGCCCTGGAGCCCACACTGGGCTTCTGCCGGGCAGGCTCCTTCCGTGGCTCTCGAGCGAGGCAGTGCCACGAGGTGCCCGGCTGAGTGAGCAGTGTCCACCCACTCGAGGCTTCTGTTTTCGTGCATGAGTGTCCCCTTGGTGGTCTGTTAAAGCTGCGCTGGGCATCTGGCCCTGCCGCTGTCGCTCACAGAGCCCGTGCTCTCTCCACAGGAGCTCGGCTTGCTGCAGGACTACCTGCTGGCCTTAACCACCGACGACCACCTTCTCCGCTGCGCAGCACAGGTACTCTCCTTGCCCCTGCAGCGCTGGCCCCTGGGGCTGGCTCTGTCCCGCTGTCTCACCACTGCCAGGACAGAGTGTCGGCGCATTGCGTCTGACCCAGGATCCACCCAGAGTTTACACGGAGCTCGGTGCTCAGAGACAGCAGGCGAGCCCCATTTATCAGTGTCGTTCATGTTAAACTGCGGGGTCAGAAGACACTAGCAAGAATTTGTGTCTTTAAAACCAAAACAGCCAATACCTTAAATTTAGTTTGGCCGATGCCTGAAGTTTCCATAGAGTTAAATTTCAGATATTTTTGGACGTAAGCTGCTTTCCCAGTAGGAGAACTCCTCCTCTGACAGCTGTTTGGTCTCAGGACCCTTCACACTTTTAAATTGTTGAAGATTCCAGAAAGGTTTTTGGTTATGTGTGTTATATACATCAGTATATGCCTCTAGAAATTAAGTTAGGTTTTAAATTTAGAAATTAAAACAAAAAGTTTAAACATTGATTTGCCAATTCATTTGAAAAAAACAGTAGTAAACCCATTTCATGTTAACATGAATAACATGTTTTATGAAAAACAACTGTTACTTTTCAAAAGAAAATAATTACTGCGAGGGGTGGCACTGTGTTCCATTTTTGCAGATGTCTTTAATGTCTAGCTTGGTAGAAGGCAGCTGGATTCTCACGGCTACGTCTGCAGTCAGTCTGTCGTGATTTCACACGTTAGCCTCTGGGAAACGCCACTGTATGCTCGTGAGAGAATGAAAGTGAAAAGCGAACCTAGCCCGTCCCCGAAAGAGTCTCTGGAATCCCCAGGCCCAGGCCGCACTTTGAGAACCTCGGACTCAGAATCCTTGAGTGCTGTAGAGTGTGTGGTCCAACCCCCACAGTGGACGGGGGACACTGAGGCTCACAGGGTCACGCTTGGGTGGGCGTCCAGCTGGGACCCAGAGCCCTGCCTGAGTCTGGCACTCTGTTTCCCAAAAGTTTTCTCTGAGCATACTCCTGTTCAGGCGTGTTCAGAGAAGCATCCTGAAACACGCAGGAAGAAAGGGTCCTCTTTACTGATGCAGGTGTCGGCGTGTGAGCTTAGGTGTGGGGATCCCCACAGCAAATACAGAAGAGTTTGTGTGAATTCTCCTGAGACCCGGAGGCAGAATAAAAACTCCCTTCCTGCCTAACAGCTACCTACCAACATTCCCTGGTTTCATAACATCATATAACGAAATTTTGATATCTGACCATTCTGGCCCCGAAAGCTCAGCATGGCAGATTTGCTATGAGCCTGTCCCTCTTGCCTGCCCGTGTCCCATCTCTGCTGCCTCATCACCCTCATTCTGACCCGCTGCCCATCTAGTTTACTGGACCAGTGTTCTGACTTTTCTCCCTGCCTGCCACCTCTCCTCCCGCATCCACCTCCACTTTCCTGTCACCTGGAGCACGAAGACCCCACTCCGCCTGGCCTCAGGGCACCGGCATTCCCACTGCCTTCCCTGCACTGTTTCTTGGGCTCCCCCGGCACTGGCTGTTGTTTCTTGAGTGTGCCATGACCCTCTTCTGCACCTCTGTGCTGTTTTTCTCCAGAGAGCTCTCCCAGACCCCGGCAGACAGTGTCCTCTGAGCCCCATGCACCTCACCACTGTTTCTGCCCCTCTGGGGCAATGGCAATTTCTACCTTACACTTGGAGCTTTCATGTGATCTCGGTAGCTTTTTGTCTCTCGCCCTAGCCTGCCTGCCTGCCTGCCTCTGGGGGAGGGAACCACATCCCCACAGCCTCCGTGCTCGGCCGAGGGTCTGGCTCAGCAGCACTCAGTGACTGAGCAGGTGAGTGGCTTTTGACATTGGCGACTACTCTTTCTCCCTCTGCAGGCTCTGCAGAACATTGCTGCCATCAGCCTGGCCATCAACTACCCAAACAAGGCAACCCGCCTCTGGAATGTCGAGTGTTAGCCCTTGGTGTGGCGTGCATGGGACTAGCTAATCTGCCCACAGGGATTTTAGAGCAGACATCTAACTTCATTCAGGAAAACTCCTGTGGCATCAGCGCCCAGCTCTCCTCGAGCTCACTTCCACTCCAGTTAGGATGCCAAGCAAGCACGTCTCCAGAAACCCCCTGTGCATAGGCTAGACACGTGCACATGCCGTAGCATGTGAGAAGCAGCAAAGCAGTGCAGAATGACTCAGAACGGGCAGGCCGGGGGCCCTTGAGAAGGTTGTTCAGAGACCAGCCTTTTCCAGGGTCTGTCCCTGCAGAAGCCATGGGCCCAGGAAGACTTGGAAGCAGCGTCTCTGGAAAGGTTCCTGTCTCAGTGGAGCTGGAACTGCTTGCACTGTCGGATGAAGGCACAGTCCGCCAGAGCCAGGTTTCTCAGCAAGACCTCCAGCAGCGGTGGCCTGGCTTGGGAGCTCCTCTTTGCTTTTGCTTCTTGTGACTGGTAATCCAGACCACACCGAAACTGGCGAGAGCCCCTCCTGGCCAGCACTGACCCCCCAGCAGTTGGTTCAGGACCAGGTGATAAGCTAGCTCCCTGCGTGGCCTGCCATTCCAGAGAACTCCTTGGTGAGAACAAGTGCCCTTGGGAACAGCCTGCAGGCCGCCTGTGCGTCTGCTCACGCATCAGCTTCCAGCACATCTGCATTTTTTTCAGTTTTTGTTTTAACATATTTCAGTTTCCACTTCATGTTTTTAGAACAGAACCACATTGACTCCCTTGAGAGGGCCTCAGGGGAATGACCAAGGGACTGGTCATTCAGGGGACAAACTGGTTTGTGTGAAAGTAGCGGAACCTAAGGAATGCGCTTTAGCCTCTGTACCTAAGAAGGACTTAAAGCATTCTCACAGGAGATCTTAGAAGATCTTATTTTAAGAGTTTAAAAAAGAAAACCATATGATTTTATTTCTGCTTGATAGTCATGGTATTCCGTGACATCCACCTCTGGGACTCTGCGTGGTTATTTGGCTGTCACTTGTCTAGCAATAACAGCAATAACTACATTAGTCCTAGTGATGCTGTTTTACATTTTTCTTTTTATGGTTTTAGTCTTGCCCTGAAGTACTGATTATCACTCGCTCCCCAGAGCCACACTTCGGAGCGTGAAGCTGGGTTGGCACGTGAGCCGTGCGCCAGCCTTAGTGGGACTTGTGGGAACGGAGAATGCCTTTAAGGATGGGTGTCTGGGCCAGAAGCACGTCCTACCACACAGGGCCAAACTCAAGGAAGGGTCATCACAGCCAAGGCCAAAGCTGACCAGGTCAGCATTGCTATGGCCCAGCCTGTCCCTTGGCCTCTCAAGACCCCTCGGCAGGGTCTGCAGGGGTCTACATTGGAAGAGCCGGCGTCTGCAGGTCTGGGAGCATCTTCTGCAAGCGTACTTTGCCTTCTGGGTCAGGAGGCCACAACTTTTGCAGCCCTAGAGTAGGTTCTCAGCCAAGCCCTGGGGTGCAGGTGGAACCGTCTTGCAGCGGGCGGGGGTTGCGAGTCAAAGACAGGAATAAATGAGGCAGCAGGTCCTGAAACTCAGTGACCTAAAGCCACACCCCGATGTCAGGGGGGCCTGGCCTGCTTCCCCTAGTGCTGGGACATGAGGAGGCAGGTGCTGCAGCTCGGGGAAACCCCTTTCCCATCTTTTGTTCTTTGCCAAACCAAGCGTGCTTTGCGAGCTGCCTGTACCCCCAGAGAAGGCCCCACACCCCCTGCCACTCAGACCCCCAGTGGGTCTCACAGTGAGGCGTTTCCCAAGAGGGGCCTTGTGGAAACAGGGAAAGAGGCCCCGCCGTGGGCTCAGCCCCACTGACGGACAGCCTGGAAGATAGACAGACGGCACGACCGGCGCCCCTCCACACTCGACTGACTCTGAGTGAAGCAAGGCAGAGCGGGGCAGGGGTCACTCTTCGCGGCAGCGGCCGCCAGCTCTGCGCCCCGCTCCCCTCCAGGAAGATCAGTTGTGAACAGGCCTGGGCCCTTCACAGCTTCCCTCCACACCGCCCTCGCCACTCTGGCCTCCACACTTCAGCTCGTGTAGAACAAGTCTAAGTTTTCCCCCACGCACTGCTGCCGCGCCTTTCTGGCAGGGCCCCGCCACCTCTGCTTCCGGCCGGGGCTGGCGCTGCCAAGCCAGGCCCAGCTCCCCTCCCGGTCCCCACCGGGAGCAGCAGTGTCCCAGAGGATTTCCACAGAGACCCTTCTTAGGAGGCAGGAACAAAGGTGTCGCGAAACATGTGCCTAATCTATAAAGAAATCCTGTTCCAAATCGTATATACTGTACAGACAGACACTGTTCCTAACGAGAGGAGTGACGTATTTTCATCACCGTTTTTAATTTGTTTTCTTACGGGTTTACGATTTTGAATTTTTCTTATTTGGTTGAAAGAAAGAATTTTGATTATATCCGCTGAGTGAGTTCAGCCTGTAAAAAGGATGTTAAGTTGTGAGTAAAATATGCAAATGAAGAGAAATATATTGTACAAATTCTATATAAAAAAGTACAATTGTGTGTGGACTTTTTTGCCTCCTCCTTCTCCCCCTGTTTCTCTTGTGAAGACTATGTGTGGAGTTTCTAGCAAGCCCGAACTGATGGGAATTGCAGAATCTACAGGCCTCAGGGTTGAACAGAGGCAGGAAGGTTCTCCAGCCCCATCCTCTGAGCGGATCATCCTCTTACCGTTCCGGCCACACCGGCCTGGCTGCAGCCCCCAACAAGGGGACGCGCCCTCCCCTCTGCACAGCTATCCAGAGGTTCGCACACACAAATGGTGTCCCCTAGGTCATCTCTCCAGCCAGACACCCCTAATCCCACCCGCCCAGCCTCGGCCTGCCTTGTAGTTCACAGGACGCTGCTGAGCGGAAGACGACGGGGCTCAGGCCGTAGGGCTTGCTGCTCTCCAGGGACTGGTTTCCTTCGTGCTGCCTCTGGCCCCTGCTTCTGACTCAACTCTGGCCTAGTGTGCCGGTCCCTGGGTCTCCTTTCTCCTTCCTCCCTCTCTCTCCCCCTCCCTCCCTCATGTCTCTGGTTTGCCACCTGCTGCTCTGCCCCCTTCTCAGACACGCTCCTGGGGCAAGGGCTATCAGGCAGATCGGAGAAGGACACCTTCTTGCTGGGAGCTGGGCGTAACTAACTTCAGAGGCCCGTTCCAGCCTGAAAGAGTCTGACTCGCCCCCTGACGCCCCAGCTGCCCTTTGGGGAGCCTCAGCCGGGGGCCTGGACCCAGCTCTGCCCTTCCCATCCCTGAGGCTAGAGGCGTGGCACTCGGCAGAACCGGCTGCTCCTGCGGCCTGGCCTGCGCAGCCCCAGGGTCTCTTGAGGGCCTGGTGCTGATATGTTTGCCCTCCCCACCTCCCCTTGTCGCCTGAGCGCACTGGGGCTTGACTCTGAAAAGCAGGTCTGTCCGTCCTAGCCCTGCCCTGCTTAGCTAGAAAGCAGGAGCAGAGGTGCGGCAGGTCACTGCGGAGACTGAGCCACACTGACAGCCTAACAGAGGCTCACAGAGGGACAAGGCAGGGTGGACCCGAGCTGCTTAGAACTGAAGGGAAGTGTGGAGTTCAACCAGCCGAGCCGCCTCATTCGATAAAGAGCTGTGAGAGGTCAGCTTGGAATTGCACCAGACGCGGTGGAGAGCTGGACCGGCCGGCCGTGGCACGCACGCGTTCATGCACTCAGCACACACACCCAGCAGAACCAGCGTGGGCCTGGTGGCGGGGCCTCAGGGAGGCCGCCCGGCTAACACCCCGGGCTCTCAGATTGAAGCCAAATCTGAACATGGCCCTGTGCACCTGTGGGGACCCTGTCCCTTACCTAACTGCCATTCCTACCCACTCGCCTCCTTCCCTGCTGACGGAATCCAACGTTTTGCAGGTGGTGAGTGGAGAATACTTCAGTCTCAGGAAAGGTAGGACTTTCCACCAGCTCAGGAGGAAAGTCATGATGGACTGAAGTCCCTCCTAGCAATCTCATTTCTGCTGGAGCGACACTCTTCCCCAGCCCCTCTTGTGAAGCCTGCCCGGCAGCTCTGGGGAAGGACCTTGCCCGGCTCCCACCCTCTCCCTTTGTGCTCAGAGCGCGGTGCTTCAGGCCCCCACTCAGTCTTGCCGCCACCAGGCAGAAAGCAGAAGCTGAGAAGCCAACACCCTGGGGCTGTCGGCACAGAAAGATGGGAGTCTGCCCCTAATGGCATCGTTTGAGTCCCTGATTGAGCCTTGAACTACCAACCTGCAGACGTGAGAGGGAGAGAATGCTTGTGGTTGGGAGGTCTCTCACTTTGCAGCCGAGAGCGTTTCTGACCCAAATTTATGTAGCAGTTTGGCTGCGGTAGACTGAAATAATGTCATAGCTGTCTCATCATATTAATATGAACAGCATATGGAAAGGAAATAGGTAAAAATTCCTGAAATATGCCGGGTGCGCAGCCGTGCGTGCCTGCGGTCCCAGCTACTCAGGAGGCTGAGGTGGGAGGATTGTTGGAGGCCACGAGTTCAAGACTGGCCTGGGGAACATAGTGAGACCCTGTCTCTTAAAAAAAAAAAATAAAATTTCAAAAGCGAAAGACCTCCGATAGTGTCCAGTCAAGCTGCAGAGGGCATTGAGTTGCACACATTACCAAATTATTCTTCTCTCTAGGGATTCTTGCATATGTAGCCTTGCTTATGCCCAAAAAGTTTCCGCACTTTCAATCTGGGGGCACTGTCCCAGGATTTGTTGGGATTTCTTCAGTTGCAAGTTAAACTCACTCCAAACTAACTTAATTTAAAAGGAGAATTTGTTGACTTACAAAACTGAAAAGCCCAAGGGTTGCATCTGGCTCTAGGCAAAGCTGAATTCCAGGTGCTCAAAGATGTCAGGTCAGTCTGTCCGTTGCTCCCTGCCCTCCATCCCCCCGACCCCCCTGTCCCCTTTCCCTGCGTCCCCCAGGGGCTTTCACTAAGGAGAAGGTGAAGGTGAAAGTACCAGGTGCTGGTTCTCTGCCGCTGACCAGCACCGATCCCCCGGTGGACGGAGCCTCTCACCATCTCGTCATGTGAGGCTTCCCTAAGCTGTTAACTCGTCTTGCAGCCGTGACTTAACTTACCATTTAAAAAGCTACTTGGGAGA